GCTTGTTTAATGAAAAATAGCCCACTCAGAAAACTCAACCCTCAAATCTCAGAAAGACTCCAACTCAGGCTAATCGACCTTCCTTCTCTATTGGACTGGTCTATTGGTGGCGTACTTGTCTGAGAGGATTAAAATGCAGACTCCTACTCTGCAGGGTGCATCATGAAAGGCTAATGTGACCGCTCACCCAGCGACAGAATCGAACCCCCTCTCTGGATTCCCTAACGTCGGAGAGCTTGGCCGCTGAGGGGAACCCAACCTGGTGGTCATGCTTGCCCGGTGGTGGGGCGGGGGGAGTGTCCTATCGAGGCTTGAGCGTTTTTCAGTGCAGTGACGGAACTTTTTGAGTGGTCGATTTTTGTTTCACGCGCGCTGTATTTGCAATGCATCTCGCTCGACGGTGATTTTAGAAAGAAGAAAACCTCGAGCATTTTTGGGGAGCTTGGTAGGGTGTTGGATGAATTTAGTAAGGTGATCAGTAGATTGTGAGAAGGAGTTGTAGTGGAAGAGAAAATTTGTGGTATTGGTATCTTTTCCCCCACCCCGATGCCATTCTCTGTTTGCTGAACTTGCAAGGAATCGCATGTCAAGTCGTACTCAGAGTGCCTCTACACGTTGAATGGAAGTAGGAGTGTCCCGAAGAGGCGATTGGTCAGCACTGAAAGCTTTATCCTCTGGTCTCATTGAATGAAAGTTCCACCTAAAAAACCTCGTGAAACACGGATGAAGTGAAAAGTTTCATCACTTTTTTTGTTCATCACGTTCTTCTTTCATTAAACCACTTTTGCGGGTGCAATTGCAGGTAGTTCGTTGTGCTAGAAAACGCAGATTTCCTAAACCTTTACGAGAAAGTCTATCATGTGGCTCTATCTGCTCTTTTGACGTGAGAGTGATGGATGTGGTCGTGAATGTGCCAAAGTAGCAATCGGAAAATTGTCCTTGAGAGATTGAAATGCACGACTTTGTGAGATGCATCGCTATGTGTCATTTGAATCTGTTTCATTCGGACAGTTAAAGTCGTTCAATGGAAGGTAGAGTGCAGAAACTGCAAGCAGTACTGGGACAGCTGCTGAAAGAACACCTACACAATTCCCAACAAGAGTAGATGTCACA